TCATCAAATCTGCATGCACCCGGGGGATGTTGAGAAAACAGCTTTCCGGACACATCATGGCCATTTTGAGTTCTTGGTGATGCCTTTTGGCCTCTAAAATGCGCCTTCCACATTCCAGGCTCTCATGAATGAGGTTTTTCACTCCGTAAGTTCGTTTTAGTTTTTTTTTACGATATTTTAATTTATAGCAGGTCTTGGGCGGAACACATCTCGCATGTCCGGACGGTGTTTGATCTTCTCCGGCGTCATCAATTGTTGGTCAAAAAATCAAAATGTTCTTTTGGCGTTAACAAAGTCTGTTACCTCGGCCACATTATCGACGCCGCTGGCGTTCTATGGACTCCAGCAAAGTCCAAACGGTCTTGGATTGGTCCCAACCACAATCTGTTCGAGGGCTGTGTGGTTTCCTTGGTCTAGCCGGATTCTATCGAAAGTTCATAAAGGACTTTGGCGTCATCGCAGCCCCGCTGACGTCACTTAAGCGACGACAGCTTTTCAGGCTCTAAAGGTCACACTTACCACGGCACCGGTGTTGCAACTTCCTGATTTTTTGAAATCTTTTGTGGTGGAATGCGATGCAACGGGGGTCGGGGAGGGTGCAGTTTTGCACCAAGATAACCACCCGGTGGCTTTCTTTAGTCGCAAGCTCGCCACTCGGCACCACAAACTGGCCTCGTATGAACAGGAGTTGATTGGGCTCTCTCAGGCGATTCGGCATTGGCGACACTATTTGTGGGGTCGTCATTTCACGGTCCGCACCGATCACTATAGCCTGAAGTTCTTGCTTCAAGAACGCCTCACCACGTCTCCACAGCACCATTGGATTAGTAAACTTCTGGGGTATGACTTCGACGTAGAATTCCGTGCCGGTCGACTAAATACTGTGGCCGATGCCTTGTCTCGGCGGGAAGAGGATGCCCTTTCCCTAATGGCCTTGTCCGCTCCGATTTCTCTGATTTTGGATTCTATTCGTCGCAAGCTCACCACCTCGGCAAGCGCTCAGGCCTTATTGGGAACGATTCGTGACGGAGCTGAAGGGCTCCAATGGTCCTTAGACGGTGACCTAATTCGCTACAAGGGTAAGTTATATATTCTTCTGAATTCTCCTCTAATACCTGTTATTATTGCAGGATTTCACGACAATTCAGACGAAGGAGCCTAGAAGACGATTTTTCGTGTGTCCCTGGAATTCTTTTGGACAGGAATGCGGAGAACCATTTGCAAGTTCGTGAGGAAGTGCCCTACATGTCAGCGTTGCAAATGGGAAAACCTCCAGCCGGTGGGCCTCCTCCAGCCTTTGCGTATTCCGTCACTTATCTGGAGCGACGTTTCGCTAGACTTCATTGAGGGCCTACCAAAAGTCCACGGCAAGTCGGTGATTCTCTCGGTCGTCGACCGTCTGTCCAAATACGCCCATTTCATTCCTCTAGACCACCCTTACACGGCGACCTCGGTTGCAGGCATGTTTTTTACACACATCGTCAAACTCCATGGCATCCCAGAGTCCATCGTTAGTGACAGAGACGTAACATTCACGAGTGCCTTCTGGAAGGAGTTGTTTCGATTCAGCGGGACTACTCTATCCTTTTCTTCTTCTTATCATCCGCAGACGGATGGACAAACGGAGGTCACCAACCACACAATTGCTATGTACCTACGCTGCCTGATAGGTGACTGCCCTAGGAAGTGGGTTTATTGCTTTCCCTGGGCCAAATACTGTTACAACACGGCATTCCACTCAGCTTTGCAGACTTCGCCCTTCCGCGTAGTTTACGGTCGCGACCCTCCCCGTCTATTGTCCTACGAACCGGGGGTGGCCAAACTTGAAGCAGTCGATGTCGTACTGCGCGACCGTGATACGTTTCTCGCCGTGGTTCGGGACCAACTTAAGGCTGCTCAGGTGCGTATGGCAAAGTTTTATAAACGCTCACACCGCGACGTTGTTTATGAAGTTGGGCAATGGGTTTGGCTTGGCCTACATCCCTATCGTCAGCTCTCAGTCAACCGTCGAGTGCTCCACAAGCTCTCGCCGAAATTCTTTGGTCCCTTTCGCATACTCAAGCGCGTAGGGTATGTGGCATACCAGCTCGACTTGCCTTCCTCCAGTCGAATTCACGACGTGTTCCATGTCTCCTTGTTGAAGCCCTTTCAGGGGGAACCGCCGGCAGTTGTCCCTGCGATGCCTCCGTTACGCAATGGTCGCATTCTGCTTCAACCCCAACTCAGCTGAACCGCAGCGTTAAAGAGGTCTTGGTCCATTGGCTTGGGCGTCGCTTTGGAGGATGCTTCTTGGGAGTCGTACGAGCGCTTTCAGTCGTTATTTCCGGACTTCAAGCTTGAGGACAAGCTTGTTGATTGGGAGGGGTGTGATGATGCATTCATAGGGAAGACTTACCACAGACGCAAACTACAACATAGCAACAAGAGGCAAGAAGAAGCAATCAGAAGCTAAGCATTTATATCAGTCATGTTTTCCTGTTTAATTTCTTTCAGTTTTAAAGTTTTTTAAAATTCCTAATTTTAAGGATATGTACGTTAAGTTAACTTTGGGTCTTAGGTATATATAGTTTTGGAAGTGCTGAAAATAAGGCATCGAAATTTGAATTTGGAAATTGTCTTATGACATTTGGGAGAGGAAGATCTCTAAAACTCTTCAATCTATTTCTGTTTTTTTCTTGTATCCTTAGCTGTCTTTACAACCATAGGGAAATCAAGAGCATCCGTTCCTTCGGCTCGCCCAGTGACGCGTTCACACATCCCCGAGCCCATAACAGCATTCTATCAACATTTCTGGAATGAAATAGGCCATGATGTGTCAACATTTGTGCTAGACTGCCTAAATAATCGTGAGCTTCCAGTAGGAATGAACGACGCATATATCACCTTGGTTCTTAAAAAGGGTACACCAATTATGATGAGTGATCTCCGGCCGATTGCATTGTGTAATGTCACATATAAAATCCTATCCAAAGTCCTGGCTAATCGAATGAAGATGATTTTAGAAGATGTTATATCGGCTTCTCAGAGTGCATTTATCCCGGGTCGCCTGATTACAGACAACGTTCTTATTGCCTCAGAAGTTGTCCACTTGAACCGTAAACGGGAAGGAAATATGGGCTGGTGTGCGCTAAAATTAGACATGGCGAAAGCGTACGACAAGATGGAATGGGGATTCCTTGAGCAAATTATGACACGTCTGGGCTTTGACAATTGGTGGATAGAGCTCATTATGTCTTGCGTGACAACAGTTAGATATAAGGTATCTGTTAATGGTAATCTCACAGATTCCATTATTCCAACCCGTGGCTTGAGGCAAGGAGACCTGCTGTGGCCCTAGTTGTTTATATTATGTGCTGAGGGTCTCTCTCATCTGATTTCGCAGGCTGTTATTAATAGACGGATATCTCTTTGTGTAGTAACAAGGGGACTCCAGGGGTTTCTCAACTCTTCTTTGCCAACGATAGTATTCTATTCTTTAAGGCATTGGAGCAAGAGGCGGTGACTTTAAAAGAATGTTTATTAGAGTATGAATGCATGTCCGGGCAAACTATAAATTTTGGCCTGGGAAGTCTTCTATTCATTTTAGCCGTAACACCAGTGAGATTGTAAGACAACTAGACAAGCAATTGTTGAGATTTTTAATGTTGGTTAGGTTTTCTGCTTTTGGGACATATATGGGGCTGCCGATGGGGATTGGTCGTAACAAAAGAGAAGTTTTTTCCTATATTGAAACTAAGCTGCAAAATCGGCTAAGTGGTTGGCGGAAAAAGATTTTGTCGAGGGCAGGTAAGGAGATTTTGATTAAAAGTGTTGCTCAAGCCATGCCTACATACACTATGAGCCTCTACTACTTGCCGACGACCTTTTGTAACCACCTTCAGCGTATGATGGACAAATACAGGTAAGTAGGCATTTGATGTTGGTATTCTTTGCCCCCCTATGTAAGTAACACCCTGAGACTATCAAGCATTTGTTTTGTGAAGCAAGCAATTAAAGGTATTTGATCGAAGTAGATGATATTTGGAGTACAGATGTCTGGGACGATTTAATGAGATGTTTTCAGGATGACAATATTGGAAGTCGAATATTGTTGACCACTCGGCAAAAAAATGTGGCTGAGTATGCTGATTCAGTAATAATTTTTGCCATACCTTGCGTTTTTTGGATTCAAATGAAAGTTGGAATCTTTTTCAGATCAAGGTGTGTAAGAGATCAATAACTTTACTGTCCCCTGAATTTGAAAAAATTGGTAGAGAGATAGTAGACAAGTGCAAAGGATTATCTCTTGCAATTATTGTGGTTGCTAGACTCCTCTCAAACTCCAATCAAACTATTCATGAATGGGAGCATATTGCAAAATGTGTCCCTGCTTTTTTGAGTTTAGATCATTCTAATCAGCAGGCTGAGAACATCATTGATTTGAGTTACACCTTCTGGCCTCATCACCTTAAACTTTGTTTTTTGTCATTTGGGTGTTTTCTAGAAGATGATGAGATTTCTTAACAGGAGATGGTTGATTTTTGGGTTCCGGAGGGGTTTCTAAAGGTTTTGAGGTCTGATGAGAGCTTGGAAGGTGTGGCAAGGAGGAACTTTCAAGATCTTGTGGATAGAAATCTTGTTCTATTGTGTGGAAAGAAACATGATATAGAATTATATCAAATGCATGATGTCTTGCGTGAATTGACTTTGAGAGAAGCCCAAAAATAAAATGTTTTATGTTTCAAGAAGGGTACAACTTTGAGGTGGAAGAGAAATCAATCAATAAACTCTTCCCATATATCTCAACCATGGAGCATCCAATCAAGAATTTGCATTTACAACAGTATAACTCCTACCTCCAACACTTCTTCACTGATTGATAGAATTGATTTTGACAGGACTTCAAGACAGTATGCACATTTTAAGTTTTTAAGGGCATTGGAAGTATTCAATGGGGTGATAAATGTCCATAATATTTTGGAGATTGTGAGTCTAGTGCATCTGAGATACTTATCTATTAGTAGTTGTGGGTTAAATATGCAGTCTCTGCCTTTGTTCATGTTGCGGAATCTACAGGAGCTACAAGTTCGTCATTATTCACCATGTGAACCCCTTGATATTTGGGGATTACCTCAATTAAGGAATCTCTATGTTGGTGGAATCTTTACACTAGTTCCTCAAAGATCGGTTCATCTTAATTTGAAGAGCATTAGAAGGTTGGATTATAGGAGTTGTACAAAGGTGTTGTTCCTGAGGATCCCAAATCTAAGGACATTGGAAGTTACTACTAATGATGAAACTAAATGCAAAGCTCCCAATTGGTTTGAAAGTCTTGTCTATTTATATAAAGTTGAAACACTAAGGGTTGATGATGTCGTACTTCCCGAGTTTAGAACTATTTATTCTATGGGGATGCTAAGCCTGGAGAATTTTTTGCCAAATCTTAAGGAGTTAAGATTCTTTCTTACAAATTTAAAATGGAAGGATATGGATGTTGTTGGTGAGTTGTCTAAGCTTGAGTACCTCGAATTGGATATAGATGCTGTTAAGGATAAAAAATGGAAACCCAAAGATGGAGGATTTCGTCGATTAAAGTTCTTGAACATATATGAGAGTCCTCTACAATATTGGGAAGCCACTAGTAATCATTTCCAGTCCTTGAAAATCTAGTCCTTCGTGGCATAGCTTTGAAAGAAATTCCTAGTGGTTTTGCAGAAATAACTACACTCAAATCAATCAAATTAATATTTTGTTCAGAGTCACTTATATCATCTGCTGAGCGTATTCGAAAAGAGCAGCAGGAGTATGGAAATGACACATTAGTTGTTGATATTTAAGGTCAAAATTTCTATATCTACCTTTGCTTTTTAAAAAAAAAATATTAAATTAAGATTTATTTTTGAATCCTTATTTTTCATCATTTTAATCCAAATTTATATCAATTTCAGTTATTAATTTCTAAACCATATTCAAATGGTACGTTGCCCAGAGATTTTACCAACGCATCAAACTGTAAGTGTATTCACAATAGAACGATACAAGAGTACAAATAGACTATACACATATACAATACCCTTTATACTTTCATAATGAGTAAGTTTTCTCTTTCTTTTATTTTTTTTTATTTTTTTTTTCTGGCCCACTGGTTATTTAAGGTGAGAGAGTAGGGTGCGCATTGGACAGTCGGGTGGGGCTTCTTGGAGTGCATGCTTTGAAAGCTAGGTTTGAGGAAGATTGGGTGAGGTTGATTACGGTATGTAACTCAACCATAAAATATAATGTGCTAGTAAATGGTATCGTGAGAGGGCAGGTTACTCTTACGAGGGGACCCATTGTCACAATATTTGTTCATAATAAGTGTGGAGGGTCTCTCACTTCTGTTTAAGGAAGCGAAGAGGGACGTGCAGCACATCCATGGGGTGAGGGTTGCGCATGGGGCTCCTCCGGTGTTGGATAAGTGTCAATTGTACACATTTTGTGCTTAATTTGCACCATTTATTGCATTGCATAAGGCTTATTAGTATTATTTATCTTCTTTTAGGTGTTTTTATCTACAATGGTAAGGGAAGTGAAGAAAATGGAGATTTTTGGATGATTTGCAGCACTAATTAAGGAGCCCTTTTTTAGATGATCGAGAGTATCATTGAATAATCAAGAAGAAAGATCAGAAGGATCACGTTTAAGTGAGCCAAGACAGGTGATGTCTCTATATAATGTCACATGGGCATCGACATGCCTGTGTAGGGGCCGTTCTTGGGCACATACATCGCACGGGTGCGAGAAAGCCCGTATGTACACGGGTGCCCACACGCTCGTGCCATTGCCTGTGTAACAGTCCCAATCTTGCGTATTAAGCTGTCTTTCATTTTGTTCAGATCTATATTTGGAGGGAGAGAGAGAGAACTTTTTCCTAATTTTCCAGATAGCTTTCTAACTTAGATTACATTATTTATCTTCAAAAGAATTGATCTACTCAGCTTACATACTTGGATTAGAGTGGATTCTTCCACCTCAACTCGGATTTCTCCATTAAGAGAAGTTTTTCTTTATTATCTCTTTTGTTTTATTTGTGTTATGTCCTTGCTGGATATTTGTGTTTATCTTGTGTTTATTTATATGTCTTATAAGCGTGAGTAGTGAGTTGTGGCCTGTGGAACTTTAGAATGCTTTTGAGCTTAAGAGTTTGGAATTGAGAAAGTGGGACAATTTCTTGTTCTAATTCAAAAGATTTTGAATTCTAATGTACATTGTGGATAAATTCGCAGAATATGTGTTTCTCCCCAATTTTCTCAGATTGTTATTGCACTTAAGATGTGGTTACCCCATGAAGATCATATCAGATAGATGCAACCAACACACCACACATCTACACCACCACTATAATCTGAAGACTTCAACACAAGCTCGGTCGTGCGATACAATCTAGTACATGACCAATCTGGCTATTCATTTAGTCTTCATAATTACATAGTAGTTTTTTTTTTTTTTTTTTTTAGATGAGGTTGGCTTAAGTGTTGACATCCCCTTTTATATATGGTTGTGTAATTTTCTATTTGAGATTCCCATGTGTATTAACCTATTAGCTTTTTAGTTTAGAAGTATTATATTATTTATTCCGTTCTATCATGGATTTTCATTGATTGTGGTTGTTTAACATGACACTGTGATTTACACGATATACCCGCTTTTGCACAATTGGAGAAGGATGCTAAATATGCTATGGTGTATCAACTTCTTAAAATCTTTTTGACTCAGATGTTGGATGCATACCTGGATTTCCAAGCAGCAAATTCCACTATTGAAAAGCTATGGTAACTATATGCTCCATTACTTGGGCCTTGGCCTTCTAGATATATCAATTCCTATGTGTTGGGTGCATTTTTACTCAGTTGTTAATTATATCGTGGACCGCGGTGCATAATCGATTATGCACCGCGCGTCAAAACGGCGTCGTTTCTGCAGTTATAACGGAGTGACACTACAGTGTATCTAAACCGACACTGTTTCTCGTATTATTTTTATATTATCAAATTAAACTGCAGTTATATCAAAATGATATTGTAGTTGTGGTGAAATGAAACTACAGTATATATAAAATGAAACTGAATAACATTTCACATATTTGAGTGTATATTGTACAATAAAGCTGTAATTATATTGAAATGATCATGTAGTTGTGTTTTAATGAAACTATAGTGTATATAAAATAAAATTAAATAACATTTTCACATATTTAAGTGTATAAATATTGAATGAAACTGTAGTTATATCGAAATAAAACTGCAGTGTATACAAAATGAAACTGAAGAACAGAGTTATTTTTTGCAAAGATTCCGTTTCTTTTCATTAAATAAAACGACGTCATTTTGATGCGCGGTGCACGATATAATTTGCCATTTTTACTGACTTTGCATTTTCTTATAATATAGGACCTGTCTATGAAGATTGCATTGCAAAGATGAGGTTGATGTCATTGGTGGATATAAGCTCCAGTGAATCAAGGATGTAATGTTTTAAACTTTTAATTAGCTTTTTTCTAGGACATGCAAACAAAGACACAGTTATTTGATTAATTCAATTTCATTACTGATCAAGTTGGTGCATATATGACTGCACATTGATTACAATAAGGTGGAGCCATGGGTTGTCAAAGGTAAACACACACAAAAAAAGAAAAAAAAAATAAAAAATAAAAAAAAATTAAGCCAATTGATCCTAATATAATGACATCAAAAGTATTAATATGAACAAAAAATCAATTAATCATATCCATAGATCTATTTTTTAATGAATGAGATTGATTCTCAATTCTCATGGACTCATGAGGAGGTTTGTTCTCATATAAATCTCTCTCTCTCTCTCTCTCTCTCTCTCTCTCTCTCCCTGATATACGGAAATTTATATCGTGCACCAGGGCGCACATTGCATTGTGCCTTTGGTGCAAAACGACGTTGGTTTGGAAATATTTTTTTTTCGAAATTCCGCTTCCTGTGTGGATTGTCAATTTCCTTTAAAAAAAATCTCATGTTTCAAAAATGTACATAATTGTATACTAAAATGTACATAATTGTATACTAGAATGCACATAATTGTATAACAAAATACACATATTTTTTGAAAAGATAATACACAATCTAACATAATACATAATACACATAAATTTTTAACATAATACACATAAACTCTTAACATAATACACATAAATTTCTTGTTTCGAATGTACATAATTGTATAAAAAAAATGTACATAATTGCATAAAAAAATGTACATAATTATATAAACAAATGTACATAATTGTATACCATAATGTACATAATCGCGTCAACTTCCTACCAGGGACGGAGCCAGGAATTCCGTTGAGGGAGGGGCGAAGAAGCATGGACAGATCCAAAAAAAATTTCCAGTGAAGGCGAAACGTTAAAACAAAAGAGATAATTTAAAAAAAATATATCTAAGAAATATGGGTAAAAATATTGTTGGATATGAGCAAAAAATAAAACCCATCGAAACTTTATAAAAATATTCATAACAAAATATGAAACATAATTAATTTGATAAAATAATTTGAATAAAAAAACATTATAAATTACACATCTCATTATTAATATAAAAGAATGTCATATATGTGTGTGTATTAAATATTTTTTTTAAAAAAAAAACTTTTAAAAAGTAATTGTGTTGAAGCAAAGATTTCAACCTATGACATTTACTATAACCAAACACATGCCTTGCCAACTAATCTAACTCACTTCTTGTTAATATTCATCTGTTTTTTATACTAATACTAACACTTGTACTATATATACACATATACATATAAATGTTATATATGGGGTGGGGGTGGGGGTGAGGTGAAGGGGGGCTGTTGCAATGAGGAGAAGACAAAGCTTATGGAAAGGGAGTTATGAAAAGTGTATTCAACCACTTATTACCAGAAGAAGCACGAAGCTTATATATGTACCGCAATAGGAAGCAGAAAGAAAGCGGGAAAGGAAAAGATACAAAAGCAGTACTAACAAAACTAATTAACCACTCTTAACAGAATTGGTTATTGAATGGTGAGCTGATATGTCACGTGCTTCTTGTTCCCTAAGAGCCCCCCTCAAGCTTGGATTGTAGAGATTTAGCAAACCAAGCTTGGAAACATAGCTATAGAAAGAGTTTGGACAATGTGTCTTAGTAAAAATATCTGCCAACTGGTTTGCAGAACTGATGTGAAATAACTTGATGATCCCTTTCTGAGTTTTCTCCCGAACAAGATGACAATCAATCTCGATGTGCTTTGTCCGTTCATGAAATACCGAATTCTCAGTAATAGCTATAGCAGACTTGCTATCACAATAAACAGATGTGGGAGTTGCAGGCAACAGATCAAACTCAGCAAGCAAGTAAAGGATCCATTGCACTTCACAAGTAGTAGCAGCTAGAGCTCTATATTCTACTTCTGAGGAAGATTTAGAAACTGTGGCTTGCTTCTTGGTCTTCCATGAGATTAAGGCTCGTCCTAAGAACACACAAAAAACCGTTACAGATCTTCTAGAGTCTGTGCAGGCTCCCCAGTCTGCATCAGAAAAGGCTCTCAGGCTCAAATCAGACTATGCTGGGAAGAACAGTCCTTGTCCAGGGGCACTCTTTATGTACCTTAGCACCCTATGGGCTGCTTGCAAGTGTAAGTGTGTAGGTTTGTCCAAGAACTGAGACAACTGTTGTGTGGCAAAGCTAATATCTGGCCTGGTGATGGTAAGATATAATAGCTTCCCAACCAGCCTTCTATACTGAGCATTATC